AGCGCTCGCATCACGATCAACCAGACGCTGCAGCAGAGTTATCTTTGCGCGCTGGGAACGTGAGCGCTCGCATCACGTTCCGTCAGACGCTGCGTCAGCGGAGAGTGTTTGAGAAAAGTGCGTGCCGCCAACAGGATCTTATTGCTTCACTTACTTTGCTTCGTATTGCTTTGCTGGGAGCTTACGAGGATGCCAGTAGACGTTGTGCAGCCAGGATAGCGGACGCGTCTGGCCTGATGAGGACCAGCGCCCCAGCTGTTGCAGAGAGGTGTGGGGGAGCCCCAGCGAGGCCGCTCAGAGCTGCTGCAGGATGGGCAGCATGATGGGGAGCCTGCGATCAGATGAAGAATACAGGTGTGGATGCCTTTGATTAGGAGTCCGATTGACGGCTCAGCGCAGCTACTTGGCCGGCTGCATCTGATAGATCAGAAGATTAAGTAGAGAGATGAAGCATGACCGCCGAAGCGACCCTGGGAGCATAGGTGCGAGTCCAGCGCAGCGCGGCATACTCGGCCGGGCTGCATCCATTAGAAGCAGGATAAGCTTCTGAGAGAGTGGGTTGCAGCAGTAGCAGTAGCAGTAGCAGCAGCGGCAGCAGCAGTAACCTCAGATAATAACGGCAACAATCCTGTATCAAGCCGCGGCAGCAGCAGCTGCAGCATCCGTAGATAATAACGACAAAAATCCTGTATCAAAGCCACACCAGTAGAATATTGTTGTAGCTGTTTAGTGTTTCAGTAAGAGAAGCGAAGTGAGGAGAGATGTCAAAGTACATGAAGCAGCAGCAGCACCAGTATGAAGCAGCAGCGGCAGCAGTAGCAGCAGTAGCGGTAGCAGTATGAAGCAGCAGAAGCAGCATTAGCAGGAGCAGCAGCACCACAATGCGATTCATACGAACAAACAGACGTGTCACGCCAGCGTGCGCCGCTTGTCTCCGTGAGCCAGGTTACATACGTGTCTGAAAGAGCCGAGCCGTAGAGACAGGTGCAGCCTGGGAGCCCGCGGAGCGGCAGCGGCAGGAACAGCAGCAGCGGCATATGTAGTAGTAGGAGCAGCAGGAGCAGGCAGCAGGGACAGGCAGCAGCAGGAACAGGCAGCAGGAACAGGCAGCAGGGACAGGCAGCAGCAGGAGCGGCAGCGGGAACAGGCAGCAGCAGGAGCGGCAGCAGGAGCGGCAGCAGGAGCGGCAGCAGGAGCGGCAGCAGGAGCGGCAGCAGGAGCGGCAGCAGGAGCGGCAGCAGGAGCGGCAGCAGGAGCGGCAGCAGCGGCGGTCAGAGAACCATGCCCATGGTTGTTTAACAGCCTGAGGAAATAAATCGACCCGAATCCGAAACATTCCCATGCGAATAACAGACGTCCCCTGGAGCCATCTTGCTGCTTTGGTTATGGCAGATACGCATGAACGATCACTGATCCATGCGTTCATTAGCTCCAACACCACTTCACACCCATTGCAGATTCACATTGGACCCTTTTTCTTTCTGCTGCACTTTCAAAATGCAACAACTGCAGTTTAGTTACCTAATTTAATACCAGCGACCTAGCTATTTAAATGCATGGTTTTACTGCAAGTGGCAGAACATGAATCTGAATTAATGCCCATAGCTCCTCTTATATCCCTCAGACGATAGAGATTGATGCCATTTAATATGCATTGCCCCTCGGTTAGCTCAAACACATGTGAAACGGAGCCTGCAGACCAAGCACGGGGCGAAAAAACTGGCGCCTGCAGTCAAGTGCGCGGGGCAAAAACCAATCGCCTGCAGCCCAAAACTCCGGGATTAATCCGTCCGCGGTCGGCACACTCACTGTACTCACATGCCAGGAGACTTGGGAAAAGCAACGGGACAACGCGGCACCGCCAATCGAGGTAGGGACACGCATGGCAACGCCAGACCGTCTGCGTGCGGCAGCAGACCACAAGGAACGAGCAGCACAGAACCCGCGGAGGGGCCCCGCGGAGCAGCCCGCAGAAAGAGCCCGCAGAGGAGGAGAGCAGTGGAGACACGCGAACCACGGCAAGTGCCGGGACGCGGAGGAGGAGCAGACCACAAGCAGACAGACGGAGGACGCCAGGGACGCGCCGAGTAGCGTGAGTAGACGAAAACGATTCCTCCAGACGATTCTTTGCAAGGCTTCGAGAGCTTGCAAGGCTTCGAGAGGCCGTGAAGTGGGAGTTTCTCCGCTTTTAAGCAGCTGGCCTGGCCGGTACGATGATTGGAAGGGGGCAGGGCTGGACTGGGACAAAAAAACGGCCCGGGCATTTTTTCCTTCTTACCGGCCCAGGCATGTTTTTGTCACTTTTTTACAGTTTGTTTATACCAGGGATTGGCAACTCAAAAGGTACAAAGAGCCATATTTGACCAAAAAACTAAAAACATCTGTATGGAGCCGCAAAAAAATAACAGCCTTGTATAAAGCTTATATGAAGGTTACACAATGTAGCTACATTAGCTACATTAGCCTAATATCTAAATGACCAAGTAAAGGCTACAAATACATAATAAGCATTCATGCTTGTCAAATGTGTGTTTTCACTGCAGCGTGTTCTGGAGAGAATGACGCACCACGTGATGACTCTGCTTTAACTTTGACTTCCATTTTTTTGCCTTCATGCAACTGTAGAAATACAGTAAATAAATCTGCTTTTTGGCTCAAAGGTCACACACCTGCACTGTCCACTCATATCGATCACGTCACAGGCTGAAGTTTGCTGGAGCTGAATGTCCTTTTCTTTCACAGTCTTTGCGGAGGTTTTTGAAGTCTGAAAAAAGTGCTCCGGATTTTGTATGAAAGAATCCTTCACGTAATCCCTGTGAACGGTATTTAGTGCTTCATTGTTCCTCGTGTTGCAACAAAACTTCCTATTACATCGCAAACATGAAGCAGTCCTTCCTCATTGACTGAAAGCAAATGTTCAGTCTTGTTCTTAGTCCAGTCTTATTATCGACTCTTTCTCTTTTTATCTTTGGGATCCATGCGCACACGCCGGTTTGTTTACAGCAGCGGCCGTCTGCCGCGGGGCCGCGTCACAGGATATGACTCACTACGTTGACAGAAATGTTGAATTTGAATATTACTTATACACATTTTTACAGCATTGAAATACGTTAGGAATGTTTTTCCTCCCACAGAAACCACATTCAAACTAGGAATAAAATATAGCCCTCCCACTCCATTTTCAGACATTTTTGAAAAGGCTCCAGGAGCCACTTTAGGGGCACTAAAGGTTGACCCCTGGTTTATACAGTATGTGGAAGCAAATACTGTAGTAGAGGATCAGGATGTCTGTAGTTTCAACAAAAAAATAAAGTACAATAGTCTACATTAAACAGAGTAATAAACATGTCTGTGAGTGAGGGAGGTGGACACAGACAATACTATTGTTTGTTACAGACATGAGAATTGGTCAAAAAAGTCTGAAATGCATATTGTCAGCCATTTGCTGGCTCTAAATCTGTTTAATTTGCTCACAACATGTTACTTTTGGGCTCAAACATGAACTTTTAATGCAATGGAAAATTTAGGTACCCGGGCTTTAATTTAGTCGCACTTCGAGAGGAGAGGGGAGACGCGGACTTTTTCCTGCAGCGGTGTATTTATTGGATGCACAAATTACGCAAAGACACGCATGGTCCTGTGCACGTTTATGGTCTTGGGTACATGGTCATGTTGCGGCTACGCGCTCACCGTGTTGTGTTGTGAGCGGCTCCCGGTGAGTGGTTCCTGCGTCCAGCTCAGAGCAGCTGGATGCGGGAACACTGCGGCCGCTTAGGTGGTGGAATCCCGTTCAAGTACATACAGCAGGTGCCCCGCGGACACGCGCGCTCCCCTCGAACATTTCTCAACGGATTTACACAAACATTTCACAAACATTTTTTTTTTGTATGAGGCAGACAGACCGGCCCAAATATGGGCATCGGCCCTTCGGGCATTGCCCGGTACGCCCGATGGCCAGTCCAGCCCTGGAAGGGGGCGTTTGCTGTGCGATAGGCTGGGGATGCGAACCGGCCTGGAGGGGGTAGCTTTGGCTGACGTCTACCAAATTGAATTTCCGCGGGCTGCATTTGTCTTCAAATCAGAATCAGAAAGATTTGTATTCCCATTGTAAGTCGTCATAAAGAAGTAAGAAGTCACAAACTATGAATTTGTTTTGTGATGCAAACAAATAATTAAATAGTTATCATGGCATTCATAAACAAATTTAAATTCTAAAATATAAATTCACATAATAGACATAACAGGGCAGATTTTCTTTAAGTGACCAGAGGTATTAGAGCATAAGGTAACAGAAGTACAGTATAAAGTGACAAAAGTGCTAAGTATTCACATCATCAGTTTTTATATTGATCTTTATTGAAATTCAGATGTCCAGTAGCAGCAAAAATAAAAAAATAAAATTGATCATTCAAAAACATCCAACAATAATCGATGAAGTGAAGATTTGTAACTATATGTTGTGCAGGTTTGGGAAAAAAACAATAACAACAAACATATAATGGTGAGTTTGGAGTTCAAACCGGTCCAAGTGTAATTGCTTTACAGTTTGGTTAAAATAATCCAACTCGCAAACACACACACTCACGCACACACACACACACACTCACGCACACACACACACACACACACACTCACGCACACACGCACACACACATACACGTTTTTGTTACCTGGTGGGTCCCTTTGACAGGGCCGTTCAGAATGGGACCCATAGACATAATCTTTTTTTACTGGGACTACTTTAAGTAATACAAAACAGTCAATAGAAACCAAACAACTATTTTAAAGGAATTTTATTTTAGATTTTGTTTTCGAATTGCAGTGATTCTATTTTTGACATAGAATTTAATGCCACTCCATGTCCGATGTCTAAGGTCATCTGGTGAGGCATTAATGCAGGCCAGGCAGTGAGACTTCCCAGGGACCTTTCCAGTCTGTATGAAAGGTGTCATGGTCTTCTCCACAGCCTTCACCTCAGATGCAGACCATGGCTTTCTTACACGTTCTAGGGAGAGAAATAAAAATATATTAGCAATATACACTCCCAGGGTTAGGACCAAGCAGCCTGGCTGTAATCCCCCACCTGGTACACTTACCAGAAGGGGCACTGCCACTACCATGGGGTGCATCTGGATGAATGGTTGAAGGTTCTCCGCTTGAAGTTTCTTTTAGCCCGTCCGTTTGTGAGAGGATCTCTACTGCTCTCCCTGTCGCACAGAAAATAAAAATACAAGTGGCCTTTAGGGGAAAAAAATCATACATATTTTAATAATATCAAGAATTACCTTCAGGCTCAATTTGTATCTGGTCGAGGCTCTTTCCTTCGAATTCCGTCACTCTTCCCTGCTCCATGGCCATCAACACTTTGCTGATTTTGGCCAGCTCCAGTGTCCCCTCTGGTAGTCTGTAATATTGCCTGTGGATGCGAATGTCATGGCCGAGGAAGTTGGCAAGTATGTCCATCTCATTCTCTTTCATATTGAGAACTGTAGACATAGTAGCTATGTGCTTTCTAAGTTTGGTTGAGGATTGCATCTCTGGATGCACCGCACCACATTCTTTGGCTACCTGGCGTAGGGAGTCTGATCCCCTGATGTGGGTGTCTGCGCCCGGGCGGGAAAAGAAGTATGGGTTATGGTCAGAGATGGAACAGGCCCTTCTGTTCTCCACCAGCACCTCCATCGAAGCAATCATTTCAGGAGTCAAAAGAACCGGCACTTTCCGACTTCTTTTCCCTTTAATTTCAATGCGTTGAAAATGCTGACACAGCTTTTTCTCAAGTTGGGACAGTCCCAGAGCAATGTCAGAATGGATCCCAGTCTTACTTCTTAAGGTAAAGGCTGTCAGTGGCATCTTTGAAACCTCACCTTCCCTTCTTCGATTGAAAATGATGACCTCACAAAGAGTCAAAACTGCCAGTTTAGACCAATGCTTAGACGTTGGCTCACTTATTAGGGTTTGCACATATTCAGGTCGACATACCTCAATATGTGCATGCATGGCTCTAACGTCCTCAGTCAGAGGGAGCAGGTCCGGAGTGTTCCACTTGGCTTGCCGGAGGGTCTGTAGGGCAGCAGAAGAAACACAGACGTCCCACCTCTTCTCAAAAAGCAGCCGGCTTCGTTGGAGGTTTTTAATAAATAGTTCATCAACACAATGCTCCATTTTTGAGTCACATTCAAGAATATCTGCTAGCTTTCTGAGGCTATGGCCGAGTTTGAGGGCCAAGGATGGAGTCTTGTATTGATTTGTTTCCTCATCATATCCAGCCACAGACCTGACTGCATCAATCACATGGTTAAAGTTGGAAGGAATAAAGAAATCCTTAATTGTTTTCAGTTTCCCTGCGGTTTTTGCTTCGTTAATTAACCTACCGACTTCTCTCATTTTCTGCCTAATGTAATCATGCTTAGTCTTATCATGCCCGTGTTTTAAGTACAGGTGCTCTCCGAGTCTCAGAATCCCCTTTTCTGCTTTGACAACACCCGTGACCTCATCCTGATGCATTGCCGAAATTAAAGACCACAGCTTTTTGCTGATGCCCTCCGGTACAGGCTGGGCTAGGGAGCAGAGGGACTGGACCCTACTTCTACCTGGTTTAGCCTGGGCATCTTTCTGTGAAAGCCGGCACCTGGCCACATGCCTCCACAGCGACTTTCGCTTAAGCAATGCCCCACAGTCTATACAGTGCAAAAACTCACTGGATTTAACTGGGGAATTTGGCTGTTTAGCTGGGACTAAAGTTCCAATGCCGGCCTTTAAAACCTCAAAATTGTGCTCACGGTTTCCACTATTCCTGATCAAATCAAACTGAAGTTTACGTGCTTTAGATTTCACAGGTAGAGCCAATGCTCTGGCTACGTCACTTTCATTTCCATGTTTTCTAGTCAAATGACGGGACATTTTGTGGCAGGACATTGAACAGTAGAGGCAGAAGTGTCTCTTGCTGTAAACTCGCCCCCCATTTTTCTTCTTTTGCAGCTGCATGATAACAATCTTATTTGCCTTTGGTTCGTCACTTTCCGAGTCTTGAAGAAAAGTGTTTTTGATTTTTCTTTTTCCATACTTTTTTACAGGTTTCTTCTTGACAGTTAAATCGTCAGAATCTGAGTCGACTTCATCAATTAGGGACTCTTGACTAAGCTGCACAAACAACAAATAATTTGTAATCATTCTATATAACAATTTGAAGTCATGACTTGTAGTCAGCACTTACCAGTGGTTTGTAAGCGTGCGCTTCAGTGTGCTCCTCCATGATTTCTTGCAGCCTAATGAACCACACACTTGCACCTTTTTCTAGCCTGACACCTGATTTCCTCTGTTGTGCTGCTCCATGATTGGCTCCAGCCTGCTGGACTGAAATTGCCCCAGTGTGCCCCTCCTTGATATCCCGCAACCCACCACCAGGGTTCCGACACATAACACACTTTTTTCAGGAAAGTAAACCTCCAGGGGTCCTTTCCATATTTTTACAGAGACTGCATAAGGACCGTTAGAAAAGCATTACCCATTGATTATTAAGCTTGGACCAGTGGGGTCCGGTGTTCGGGCCCCACCACGTAAAACCAGTCCCCATGACGTGAGTGGAATCTCAGGTTATGGAACCCACCAGGAGTTGAAAACAAGTGCACACGCACACACACACACACACACACACACACACACGAATACAATAATAAACCACCAAAACGTGACCAATATTATAAGACATGTTTTTTTTAGATTATTATTATTAGAATTATTAATACAATACAATACAATTTATTCTTGTATAGCCATAGGTCACAACAAAAGTCGTCTCAGAGGACTTAACAAAACCATTGAAATCACCAACACAGATCAGAGAATCAACAGTTAAAACACATGATTAATGCAACAATACAGACAAAACAAAACCTTACATACACTTTACACAAAAGACAGTGTCATATAATAATACAAAATCAACTAAAAAATAAATAAAAAGGGGGCATGATCTCAAGACATTTTATGGAGTTCCTCGTATTGACAAGAAATGTTGATGGGTCATAACTGTCCTTAAACTTTTACACTTCCTGGATCATCACCACAAATGGGCAAAATAGGTCAAATAGGTAACACCATTTAAAAAAAATACACATATCTTATCAACTATCTGACATAAATCTAACTTCAAAATAAACTCCAGTTGCACCTGTGCACAGTGTCGTCAGGGGTTAACAAAGTCAGGTGAACGCATCGGGGGCTTCTCTGATGTTGCGTTTCAGAGGGAGGGGTTGCCTTGGTTACGCAGCGAAGAGTGCATTCCACACTTTTCACCTCCGCGATGACGAGCCAGAGAGAGAGATGCACATGGGTTCCGCTCACTCTGGGTTATTTCAAGGTGACACACGACCACGTTCCCTCAACAATTCCCACAATGCATCTCATCATTCATCACATCATTCGGCATCACGCCATTGGACTCGCCAAAGGTCACGCGCACCAGAGGCTTTAGTGGCGGTGTGCGTTGTATATTTCACTCCAGCATCATATAATCGACGGGCCAACCTTGCATATAGGACGGGAGCAGTCATCAGAACGCGCTGTGACAAACTATGTGTGACACTAATAGCCCTGTCTGTATAACTCATGATTCACAGACCTCATTGATTGTCCCCTCTCTGTCCCCCGCCTCTCCCACCAACCACAGCAGGCTTTGTTACCTAACAGGACGCGCAAACAGCCACAGGGTTAACTGCCAAACATGTAATCAAGAGTCTCAATACTGAACGGGGAAGTCAATTATATTCGGTACAAAATGACTGGTGGAACGATGACAACAACTATAGATGTGGTGTATTTTATAGCATATTCTCAAACAATTGAACTAGTGGCCTTCCCAGTACTGTCTGTTTTAAAACCTATATGTATTTCACTTTTTCCACATTGTCTTTGATTTGTCTCTCTTGTAGTCTGTCTACTTTAATTTCCTGTATTTCTTTTTTATATATGACTTTTCTTTTTCTCTTATTTTTTTACATGGGACCGTGTGCAGTAAACACAGGCCAAAAGAAGAGATGCATTGCACCCGGTAGAAATGCTAAGTTACAGCTAGAGTCCTTGAGCAGTTTGTTGAAAAACAGTAAAACAAAAGTAGATCACACACACACAAAATCAATTTAAAGGAGATGTAGCTGCTTAAATTGGATTTCATTTTCAAAATAATGTATCTTTCTGAACATGGGACACTGTGCTATTATGTACTGTATTTTTAAACAGTCCCGCCCCTTGGCAAAACTACAACCAGTAGGATTTTTCTCAAACCAATCATGAGGGGCCTCAAGGATTTGAAATCATTTTGTCCAATCAGGAAGCTGCAGGAGTGAGTATGGGTCTGACCATTGCGTGTCTTCTTTTGAAAAGTAACTGAGATTAACTTATTGTGATCTCAAAGTTATGTTATTTGTTCTATATTAATTGATAGACCGAAGAGGTTTAGTTTCACACCAAGCACAACATCAGTCGTCTCTGAGGATTTTACAAAGTTTTCGATTCACCAACAACACACCAGAGAATCACACAGTTCAAACATGGGAAATGTGTGAGCGCGATGACCAATGTCCAAAAATAAATCATGTATCCATAAACAAACTAAAAACTTGCTCCAGCTTTAAATAATTAAATGGCTTCAGACTGAGTTTATACAATCCTACTTCTTAAATGTTCTGTCCGTATGGAAATAAATGCCACTGTGTTATAACACTGAGGGCAAGACACGAGCGAACATTTGACACATGATCATACAATCATCAATAAGGTGCCGGTCCGTGTCCACATAGATCCAGGGGTTTGGGACCGGTCTCTTTCCAGCCTAAAAGTGATGACTCTTCATAGGTCATGTGCCACAGGAAAGTGGGGATTAGGAAGACTCACTGTGGCGTGTTGTTTTGTCTGAAATCGCTCCTAGGACAAAACAACAGAAATGTCCATGCCCCGCCCCCCCTCCCCCTCGCTCTGGGCACTCTAAATCCAAGCCTTTTGTGTCCCACATAGTTGTATGGATTTGTCAGCATTGGGGCAGCGGTGGTGGGGAGACAGGATGATGATAACCAAGCCAGTTTTTCCACTAACAAAATACCAAATTCTTAACCTTGAATTTCAAAAAACATAATAATGCAAACACTGTGGGTGCCCTGTCCGAATATACAGTTGTTATGAATGTGTTCAGAGAAAATGCAACTTGAGCTAATTCCCAAAATGTGGAGCCTCTTTCAGTAGATCTGCCAAAAAAAAAAGTAAATTGGTTTTTGTGCAGCCCCAAGGTGGGTCGTGCAGGGCAGTCCGTCGGTTCAGGGGTCCCATCATCATCACCACAAGAGGGAGGGGTACAATTTATTTAGCTTTTTTCAAAAACGTGCGATTGTAATGATTGTCATGTCATCTGGGAAACTGCAAAAAGTGAAATGGTTTTGTTTTAAAAGGCAGAAAACTGTGTTGAGTGTGATGTCATAGTGTACAATGACATCATACTATCACAGGACCGAGACAGGAGCTTTTAAACACAAGCTTACATGGTTGAGTCAGAGGTTTTTAAGAAATAAAACTCCAGGTCTGTGATTGAGGATGTACCATGTTATAACATACTCTAAAAATATCAAAAAAGTCTGTATTAAAGTGTCTGATTATGTATGCAAGGTATGGTCATGCATACAGTTAAAAGATATAGAGCAAGGTGTCTCCAACCTTTTTCACCCAGAGAGCTACTTTCCCCGGAGGCAGAGAGCTACTCCTTTAAGCAGCCCTGGGATAAAAATTGTGATATATTGGTTTATCATATATTTGTTACTCGTGACAAAGTAAGTACATTTACAATAATATATAATGATAATGAATTATACAATCTGAAATATTAAGTATATTAATAATAATAATAATAATGCATCGGTTTTATATAGCGCTTTTCTGGACACTCAAAGACGCTTCACATGTGTCATTATTCATTCACTCCATACACGGTGGTGATAAACTACTGCTGTAGCCACAGCTGCCCTGGGGCACACTGACAGAAGCGAGGCAACCAGTATGCGCCATCGGCCCCTCCGACCACCACCAACCATTCACACACACACCAGACTCATTCTAGGCAATGGGGGTGAAGTGTCTTGCCTAAGGACACAACGGCAGTTTGGCACTTTACAGCCGCAGCCGCCCCACTGTGGCTGGTGTTCCCAGAGGTTAAGTGTCTTGCCAAGGACACAACGATAGTAGTCAGTGGGAGTTGATGGTGAAGGTCTTGAGCGGGGCTTGAACCCACGACCTTCTGGCTCAAAGGCCAACGCTCTACCAACTGAGCTACTGCCGCCCTAATTATTTATATTATTATATTATTTGATTTGATTCATTTCTAAATCCTTTGGCGAGCTACCTGGAAGGGGATGGTGAGCTACTGGTGGCTCCCGAGCTACAGGTTGGAGACCCCTGATCTAGAGTATCTTATGTGCAATAAAGGTATTTAATGTACAATTAAAATGGACAATAAGAGTACAAGTTGCAGTCCTAGTGCAAGTGACTTGTTGTACAGTCTGACAGCAGTGCTGATGTAGGCTCTGCGGTTGCGCTCCTTCTTTCACAGCCTCAGTTTTCCTACATCTATTGTTGTTTTTACTGTGAGAACAACCTAAATTAGCATATTTTGCAAATGCCTGGTGCTCTCTCCTTTTGGCTTATATTTGTTATACTCAAAACTGAAATCCTAACATTCAAAACTGAAAAAGGATAGACTGCAAGCAACAAAATATGAATATTGATATAGAAAGTAATGGAAATGAAAAACCGATAAGCTTTTGATAAATTACTTGCATGGATTAACCCCCTCCACTGCTACAAAGAGGCTTGGGGCGGACCACCTGCCTGTTCAAAAATGTCGCAATCAAACCAAATTGGCATCAACAGAAAGGCTTGTGTTTGTGAAACTTTCTAGGTTATTGTCTGTAAAGTAAATTGAGAGGTTTTTCTTTTTTTTAACAGGAGAATACGACGATGTGTGAGTGTGAAGAAGAGGTGAATGCTGGTCATCAAATCTGTGAGACAAGTGTGGAAGCGGGTTCTTTTCTTCTCCCTGGTGTGAATAACAAACACAGTGTTGGATGTGCTGTACGCTCTGCCAACACACAATTTCACGACTCTGCTTTGGCAAAAACATTACAAAATACCTGTAAGTAAGTATTGCGAGTATATTTCCCCTTGACCTATTGGCTCACAAGATACTTACAACTCACCAAACAGTATTGATACTTGATGGATATTCTCTCGTCACTACTGTAACTTTATATCTGCGACTGGCGATAATAATAACTCTCACAGAATCCCTCTGGTTTAACACGGATTGTAATGGCTTCATATTTGTGTCTCTTGTGTCAGGAGAAAGTCTAATCAATCTGACTTTTCTTACACCGGTTAACCATTGCAGTCCAGCGTTACGGAAGGACAAAGAGGACACCAGGCTTCTATCGATCTGTCGCTTCATCCCTCATTTCACATCGAGTACAGCATGTGCCCTTCTAACCTTCCTGCTCTGGAAAACAGTTGAAAAGGTTTTTTTGTTCTTTATTCTGTGGACATTCTGTGGTGGATCTGAAACTGAAGCTTGGTGAAGAACTGACTGTATTTTTGTCCTTGGATATGATGCATACAGGAGCTGTATTATGAGGTTAATCCTCATGTCAAAAGTGCTACACATAGAGCTGGGGGTGGATTTAACAATCTGAAGATTGTCATTAGTTTTGTGCATGTGTAAGGGAGAATGAGGCAGTGAAACCGGCAATGGAAAGAGTGAAGGGGAAAAAGGTGAAAAATTGTTGGCGCTGTGATGTCATACAAACGGCGAAAGCAGAGCCGTAATCCTATTTTAATCGCGGTGGATTTATTAAACAGGAGCAGCAGGTTTAAATCTCAGCAGATTACACATAAGGCCCAAGGAGATATGGACCGGGGTCAAAAGGGACTTATGCAATCAAGTCACCTAAGGTGATGTGGGCCATCTTTGGCAGGTCTGGGGTGACTGACAAGGACACTCTGTACTGTCCCCTCTGCTCTGGAAGCTTTCAGTGGATCCATGATAACATTGCATACACATTTGAGCTTTTTGACAGCAAGAAGGTTCTGGGTTAAATTCCTATAATGGAAACAAAGCATCCAAATGAAAACCCTCTTTAAATAGATGAGTATTTGTATATTAAAGGTTGAGAATCAGTAGAATTGCAGACGTTAGCAGCGACTGGTGTCTGTGGAAGCTGATCAGGGACCGCAGAGTCTGGACACTGACTGACTGAGGTTAACCTCCAGTGACACATCTGGAGTTAATCAAAGCCATTCTTTACCAGAGCGTGCTTTGCTCTCTAAAGGTCACCACTAACACGAGCTGTGAGGATCTGCACCCACCTTGAAACTCACTGAAGCCATTGTTTTATTCTCAACATCACTGAACTACTGTAGGACACACTTCTCTATCCACAGGAAAAACTAGTGAGAATCAGTTACACTGTGACAACGAACATAGTACATTGTACACAGCTTGTGTTTCCACTGAACTTTGCCTTTCGCCAAATGCTGAGTGTAAAAGGATGCCAAGCTCACCATCTGTTGGCTCAGCCGGGCAAATGTCTGTCATGACACAGCGCCTTATTGAAATAGAGCCATTTTGTGATGCTTCTCATAACATTTAACACTTGGATCATCTCTGTCTTTTGGAGTTTGGCTTTTCAGAAAAACAAAAGACACAGACTTAAAGTATTAAACACAACTCATGAATGGATGGAAGTGTTGTAAATGCAGTATTAATACATATTTAGTTTGTGTAAGCCTCTATATAATAATAATGTTCAAAGGAAGGAATGTGCAGGAGAGAATCAGAACATTTTTCAAAGAAAAATTTACAAACACAACACGCACACATACATGCACGAACACACGCACGCGCACACACGCACGCACACATACGGACACACACTCAGTTTACCAACAGTATGCTGCCATCTACTGGAAGTTTAAGGAAACAGCCTTAAATTGAGATTGGCCACACTACAACCGTGTTGTACTTTGTACAGCTCAAATAAACAAACTGAATTAAAAATCATTATATGATTAATACAAAATACAACAGAACAGAAAACCAGCTGAAATATTTACAAGGAGGGTTCCGTGTATAAAGTATAATTCCTTTTCGCGCCACCAAGTTAAGAAGAGAGATACTGGTGTTTGGGAAAACAAATTCATTTCATTTTTCAATTCAGAGACGCGTTTTGGAAAAAGAAGTAGCCTGACGTCAGCAGTGGTCTTTTGCCTTCAAAATATGATGATACAGAATAGACCTAACACATAATCATTGATAAACTCTAAAACCTACGGCCCGGGCTGGTTCATGTTATACCCCGAAGTGCTCTGTGTTATCTTCGATGTGCTGTCAAATCACAACTCTTAGTATAGTAGATCAAAAATGTCCTCACCCAGGCTCTTGGCTTACACAGACCATAGACTGTGTAAGTCTTAGACACAGTCACACAGCACCTCTTGAAAACAATCTGACCGGCAAATACAGTGGTGTCACGTTCTCCTTGTTAAAACTGTCAGACTTAGGAGCTGTCAGAGTACGCCACCTACTGGTTGTGCTCCACGCAAACAGGTGTCTGCCCATTGCAGCATCTGCCCCTAGACAGAGTAGGGGTCACACTGTCAAGATTCATTTTCTCCTTAAACTCTCAAAGTAAGTAGATCAGTATTTATTATGAACTATTAGTATAAAGTTCCACGTTAACTTGTTAACAGCTACTGACTGTAGACTGTAGTGGACTCTAAAAATCCATGGACTGCACCTGTACTGGCTATTCAAAAGCAAAACAAAGTCAAAACCAGGATTATACCAGGACTGACAGGGGTCTGATTTGGATTTTTAATTGGGGTGTAGCTCCGGCAGATTGGCCTGACGAGTGACGACGCCGTTGGTACCGACGAACAACCTCGAACGTATTTAACCACTCCTGTTGCACTGGGACCCCGTGATCACGGCTCTTGTCCTCCACTTTGGCCTGTTTGGCCTGTTTTGAAAGTGATCCGAATCCAGTAGAAAAGTGTTGTTTATGCAGCTCTGTGATCAGTTATCGCTACCTACCTCGGCTTGTGCAGATAAACAAATACATGTACATAAATGCGTTATGCTTCAATGGCACAGGCTTATCTCAGCTTCTACAACGAGAACACGACACTGGGTCACTTATACAGTTAGTGAGTGAATGCAAAAGAACTTTCTTCAGCTAAACGCAGACAAAACCAAAAAGATTTTTTTTGGTCCTCAGAAACAAAGAGAGAGTGTCATTTGTCACCTACAGTCCCTTTCCCTAAAACCTTCAAACAAGGTCAGATATCTAGGGGTAATACTTTAAGGTCTAATATAGGGGTTGTACTGGACTAAATTTTAATAGCCATGTCAATTTCTACCACCTAAAAAAACATTGCCAGGATCAAAAACATAGTGTCTAAAGCAGACCTGGAGATTCTTATCCATGCATTTGTCTCCAGTAGGTTAGACTACTGCAAAGGCCTGCTCACAGGTCTGTCCAAACAGGCTGTAAAACAGCTGCAGTACATTCAAAATGCAGCAGCTCGAGTCCTGACAAGAACCAGGAAGTACGACCACATTAGTCCTGACTAGAACCAGGAAGTACGACCACATTAGTCCAGTCCTCAGGTCTCTGCACTGGCTTCCTGTGGCTCAGAGAATAGACTTTAAAACAGCTCTGCTTGTGTACAAGTCTCTCCATGGCCTCGCACCAAAATATATTAGTGACATGTTAGTCCCATATGAACCAGCCCGGACTCTGAGGAGCACAGGGACTGGACTCCTGTTAGTGCCCAGAGTCAGAACTAAACATGCGGAGGCTGCTTTTCAGATGCTGCTAAAATCTGTAACAATCTTCCTGAAGATGTGAGACAGGCCTCCTCTCTGACAATGTTTAAAACAAGGTTATAGACAGTTCTGTTTAGCTGTGCATACAACTGAGGGATTTTATATTATCTTTCTTTTTAAAGCACTGTGATTATTTATTATTTTAATGCTATATTATTTTGATAAGCACTTTGAGTTGCCTTGTATATGGTAATGTGCAGGGTTAGTTTGTTAGAATATCACAAGTAGTAGTGTTAACAATGGGATCAAATGCACAGATCAAAAGTTATACTTCGGTAGACATCATTAAACTAATAGAACTGTCTAGAACTAGTTCAGGCAGCTGCAGAGTAGAACTCCATCATCATACCTGCTTCAAGTCCATGACATCGTCAGACAACGTGTGTTCCTCGCTACAAATGTTCATGCCAGTATATTCCATGGATGTATGGCATTTGCAGAACTGTACTTGCAGTACTTAAAGTGACCAGCAGGGAGCAGCCTTAAATGCATCTTTAGGCTTTCCGCGGCTTCCGTCCTTCCTCTTCCGGTCGCGGCGCTAGCAGGTATGGTGGCTGTTGTTTTACTCACGCAGAATGTCACATTAAATCCACAGTAATCCTCCTCTCAGAGACCTCACAGCACCTCCATGAGTGTCCGAGGCCAGTAGTAAACTCACTCCCATCGATTCCCCGGAGAATTACGGTTCTGAGTTCAGTGGATGATGTGAAATATTGGGATAATGTTGCGTTGCTTGTAAATGGCCGCGATGAAGGATATATAACTAGTGTGTAATAAAGTTAATTGTAGATTAGCTTCATTTTTTACCTTGGTGACTATTAGTTGTGTAATGTATTCATTTGTTGTAGGCGCATTAGTTTGTTGTGCCGCTATATGTGCTATACACATATTAGCATTAGCAACATGGCAGACACCATCTCTAAATGTAAATACATGTGAATTTCTGTATTTCGCAGCTTCAAGATGGTGCAACGCCTGACCTATCGCCGTAGGTTGTCCTACAACACAGCCTCCAATAAAACCAGACTGTAAGTTAGCAGAGGTGCTACGCTAATACCTTGGTCTGTGTATATTTGCATCAACACTGAACCTGGACTGCTGTTTCAGGTCTCGCACTCCTGGTAATCGTATTGTGTACTTGTACACTAAGAAGGTCGGCAAAGCCCCCAAATCGGCATGTGGCATCTGCCCAGGAAGACTGCGTGGTGTAAGTGCATTTTGGTTTATATAGTTCAGGGGTCGGGAACCCTAAAGGTTCAAAGAGCCATATTTGACAAAAAAACTAAACATCTGTCTGGAGCCGCAAAAAAATAGGTAACACAGGCTGCAAGATGTATTAGCTGTATTAGCCTAATATCTAAATGACATAGTAAAGGCTACAAATACATAATAATCATTCATATTTATCAAATGTGTATTTTCACCGCAGCGTGTCGTGAATGACGCAACACGTGACGATTCTGCTTTAGTTTAACTTACATTTTTTTGCCTTCATGCAATTGTAGAAATACAGTAAATCAATCTGCTTTGGGCTCAGAGGTCACATACCTGCACCACTGTCTGCTCATATCCATCACGTCACAGGCTGAAGTTTGCTGGAGCTGAATTAAAATCCTTAATGGCCTTTTCTTTCACCGTCTTTGAGAAGGTTTTGAAGTCTGAAAATAGGTGCTCTGAATTTTTGATGAATGAATCCTTCACGTAATCACCGTGTACAGTGTTTTGCGCGTCATTGTTCCTCGTGTTGCAACAAAACTTCTCATCACAAACATGAAGCAGTCCTTCCTCATTGACTGAAAGAAAATGTTCATTCTCATTCTTAGTCCAGTCTTGTTATCGACTCTTTCTCGTTTTAGCTTTGGGATCCATGTGCACTTACAGTCTATGATGCACACACGCCGGTTTGTTTACAGCAGCGGCCGCATGGGGCGGGGCCGCGTGACTGCGCGTCATAGGATATGACGCACTACGTTGACAGAAATGTTGAAATTAAATATTACTTATACACATTTTTACAGCATTTAAAAACGTAAAGAATGTTTTTCCTCCTACAGAAACCACATTCAAACTAGAAATAATATATAACCCTCACACTCCATTTTCAGACATGTTTGAAAAGCCGACCCCTGATATAGTTCAACCTAAATTCATTCTGGTGCTGATGCTGCAGTGTCTGTAATTTGTGGCTAAAAGTTTAATTTGGAGAAAAGCTTTAAAACATTACTCTTTACTCCACTCGAAGAACCATGGTGCTGGTAAAATGGGAATTGTTGTTTAAATAGTTGCGTAAAATCTAAACGTGCATCATTAAATGTGTCCATGGGCCTGTATGCACACTGGCCCATGGACACATGTTCATAATGTTACTGAAATGTCCTCAGAACTGCTTTAAAGGTTTGACGTTTTGTACAAGGTCGACTAATGCAAATGTATATCAATTCCAATCTGCTACTGGTATTTGGATGGTAATACATGCATTCTTTCAGCAGATTTTAGTATTTAAGATTTATTTTGTTCTCTTGTTTTCATAGTATTTTCATTTTTTTTTTTTTTGACTAATACATCTGCACTAGTATGAAATCTCAAAGATTTTGTTATAGAACAAAGTTCTTAAGTTAGTCAAACTGACTGATAATGATGTAAATGTTTGCAATGCATTTTTAATCAAACCAAAGTTAACTATTTAAAGCTAGTCTCCGGGGTCATCACTGGGGCTTGTGCAATGCATTTTTCATTATCTAACCTTTTGGGATCTAATCAATTCAATTATCAAAATTGTTAATTGCACCCAGGACAAGCAAAACTGTTGACTTGATCGACGTTTTCATCTTGGATGACTTCAAATGTGTTGTCCTGTCGGAGAAGTTGACTATTGTATTTAATATATTGTAGTGAATGGTCTTTTCTTTGGTTTCATGACGGCAGGGCAGTGGCGTGAATAACAAACGTGAGACAGGATGTGATGTATCCTGGCGGTGCAGTCTGCCGGGTTTACACAAAGATATAGAAGTGCTGTCAAAATGCTTTCTTTTTTTTGCGGTGTACGCTTGTAGCAACTGCACAAATAGAGTAAAAGACAAGAATATCTTCCGTGTTCCAACTGTGGTCTCATAAAGAAGTACACTTAGGGGTGGATCAAGGCTTTTCCAGATATGCCACCTAAATGAAACAGTGCAATTTTTTTTTTTTTTTTTTTCAAAAAATGCCCAAAATAAAGACTCGAGAAATATTTTTTAGGACTCCCTTGAGTGTCCCCTTCCTGATTGAGACTGTTACAACAACCGTATACCGCCCAGGATGAGAGGCTTTTGACTCCAAAACACAAGATTTACTTGGTTTTCAATGGGAGTAAAACTGAGTTGTCCCAGCTCTGCTCATTTTCCCCCTATTGGCCAGTTTAATGAAACCCAAGAATAGAATCATGCCCCCAGGAAGTAAAAGTTTAACCCTATATCATGATTTTGGCCTTTGAACAATGGGTGTTGCCTGATCACATCCTGGTTTGAGTGTTGCCTGGCCTGCCAGACACTCCTCCTTTCTGTTCAAAAGAAGAACCGTCTGCGTCTGGACACCTTTCAGACGCACCTAGCCTATCATTTCACGATTTTACCCACATCGGTCCAATCACGCACCGAGAGGCGGGACTTCCTTTCACCTTTGAGTTGCTAATAACTCCTCGTATCTTTAAGTTTTTGTTACAAAATCGACAGCAGTCGTTTACATTTGCACTAGCTGACATCCCGCCATCCCTTGTTTTGTGTTTACTGAAACGGCTTGGGTGCCGCTAGTTGCTGCGTCATATCCTGTGTGCATCTAATTGGTTGATGCAGTCTGTCAACCACGCCCACCGGGAATTCGTTGAGATCAAGCTCGTTCCCAGACTATATGTCTTTGAAAAAGCATATCGTTTGGCAGGCCAGGCAAGTTTGAGTGTTGTGTATAACTTGACTTATTTTTGCAGATCCGTGCTGTCAGACCACAGGTTCTCATGAGACTCTCAAAGACCAAGAAGCACGTCAGCAGAGCTTACGGAGGCTCCATGTGCGCCAAGTGTGTGCGAGACAGGTCAGTAAATGCAGTATGTTTTGGTTATTGTGCTCTTAAGTGAAAGTCTAAAATGATAACTGTCTTTTTCAGGATCAAGCGTGCTTTTCTGATTGAAGAGCAGAAGATCGTCGTTAAGGTGCTCAAGGCACAGGCACAGAGTCAGAAATCAAAGTAAAATGTGTTTGTACAATGAAAATAAAATGGTAGAAAAACTTCTCGTTTTACTGTCTGTGGAATCCTGTGTTTACATAGTCATGTTTTTTAGAATAAGTTAACATTTTAAGTTTTACATTTTGAGAGCAATTTAATTTTCCAGATTAGTTATATCTATAGCAGTGTTTCTCCATTATTTTAATTCCAGGAATGGAAGAAACCCCCCCCCCCCCCCTTACATCTTTCATCTGTTCAGAAAATTGACCACACCTAAAAAGGTGTAACTCAAAGGGTTTCTTGCATTTGAGAAGGACTGATCTCTGGAGAGACAAAGGGTTACTATTCATAGTGCGGTTTTGTGACATGAAGACAATGATTGCCAATCAAGTATTTTCTAAACTACACGTTCTGCCCATTGGACACTTTTGGAAAACTAAAGCTAATTGTTAATGAGTTATATTTAAAAAAATAAAATAAAAGCTCTTTCAGTAAAGTACAGCTCAGTGGTTTATTTCGGATATCTTTTATCCATTAGTGGAATGAACCCAGAACCTTCTTGTTGTGAACAAGAATGGATGGGTATCTTTAAGAACGAAATAAAGTATTTTATAAATAAAAAAACTCGCGAACGCGTTTGAGTTTGGAACGCGATGACGTCAAGCATTGGTTGTACTTCCGGGACACGTAATCACAGCTGCAGGAACTGTGCAGAGGGAATATTCATCTTTATTCCCCAGAACCATGGAGGCTCTGTACAGTGTCCCCTTCTCCGTGCTGGAATGCCCCAACATCAAGCTGAAGAAGCCGTCCTGGCTGCACATGCCGTCTGCCATGACCGTGTACGCGGTGGTCATTGTCTCATACTTTCTCATCACTGGAGGTAAACGATGCTAAGCTATGCTAACTACAGTGCACAAGTATCCGGTATTTGGCAGTAGCTCAGTCAGTGTTACACTTTTAGCTTACATTAAATGTCAGTGCAAACCATGTATTTATTACTTTGTTTCTTATTATTCACTCTATAGTTTAAAACAACACTAGTAGGCTCTTTGCTAGCACCTACAAGTCTGCCAATATATTCGATTGCTTCCTTTCTGTATTTCAATTCAGTGTAAAACATGTTTGGAAAATATATTTTTCTTTTATAGGAATTATATATGATGTTATTGTTGAGCCACCCAGCGTGGGATCAATGACAGATGAACATGGTCACCAGCGGCCCGTAGCTTTCCTGGCATATAGGTAAAACAAATGAATGGAGCTACATCCTGGATTCAACTGTTCAAACATGAACTAACGTGGTTTTATTTTCACCTATTCTCCAGAGTAAATGGACAGTACATTATGGAGGGACTGGCCTCCAGCTTCCTCTTTACACTGGGAGGACTGGGCTTCATAATACTGGACAGATCCAATGCACCAAACATTCCCAAACTCAACCGCTTCCTGTTACTGTTTATTGGGTTTGTGAGCGTGCTCCTGAGCTTCTTCATGGCCAGAGTGTTCATGCGCATGAAGCTGCCGTAAGTTATTAGTAACGTTTTGTCACACAGTTTTATATATTTCAAATTATAACATTGTTTTGGTTGTTTTTTGCAGAGGATACCTGATGGGATAAAGCCTACACACAAAACAAGACCACTTTTGATTATGATTTAGTACTGGACTGACCTTAGCTTTGGATATAAAGGCACTGATTATGTGACTATGACGTGTGAAAGTGCAAAGAGCGGTGATATCCATGAGTATGTTAAATTTGGGGGTTGATTTGAAATTGAGCCAATTGACCTCAATCTGACTCCTTCTGAAATGCAGTCTACACATTATTTGTATGGAATTCATTGTAATGCTTTTGAAGTTTTGTATGAGGTGAATTAAATCTGGTTTTCACAGTTGGTGTTTTGGTGTATTTCCAAAAGAACCCACTACTACCTTCACACTGATTTCTGATCTTGGATTGGATTTCTATGGCCTGCAGAGCGCTACAGCTGTTGTCAGGGGCTCAGAAAAATGTACATTAAAACAACTCTGCATGGAATCTAAACTTAGAAGAAACGTAGAATGTTGTCGCACAGTTTATTCTAAATAAAATAAAACTTAAAATAACATTAATTGATAAACACTATGCTCAAAGCAGAAGTTGTACTTCGGGGCTGGAATGTCCGAACAACCCGCTGACTTAAAACAACACAGGGTATTTGTTATTTATGACACTGTTGTTTTACAAAATATTAAACACCATATCTGACCCTGTAATTGTCATAAATACTTATGTTTATGCAATAGAGAAGTAGTTAGATTTATCTTGTCACCAGCTTCTCATGAATGCTTTTGATTTTGGGCATTTGGAAGATTATGTAGAGTTTCCATGATCACGTGAAAGCACCATCTGTGAAGACTGCCATGTCCTGAGACAACCTTCTTTTCCTTTTTCTTCTTTCCTAAACGAGTGGTGGTGGGTGGAGATACCCACGGTGCAGATTGGCAGCCTCATTTCCCAGGACAGAGACAACAGAACCACCACCACACAGAGGACATGAGAGAATAACATTTAAAGGACCTGCCATTCATGATAGAAACCGTCGTGACAAAGGTTGTGATGAATGGCTCCCAGCAGATGGCACTCTTGCGTTTTGCAATAAAAAACTTCCAGTAAAATATGACATATAATTTTTAATACAAACAATATAATTTCACGTTCCATACATTGACTACATCTTAAAAAGCAGCCATTCTGCATTTTGTATCATGCTTTATAATATATTTAATAGTCTATTCAATATTTTACATCTATAAATAATTAGCACCCTTTTAATAGCATGAAAATCTTTTTTATGCTGTTTGAATTACGAAAAATATCTATGATCAGCATTACCACAATGATGTTGGCATTTTTTACATGTTCCCATTCAAAGCAGCTTTATATTTTGATCCGTTCGTTGAGGCGAGGAGATTCGCTCTTGTATTTGCTGTAGACTTTCTTGTGATCCTGGTTTTCATCTAATATCTGTAACAATAACAGACATGAGAGGAGGAAGCTAGTCTTGAGTTGGAGTCCACACTTCATCTTACCTTTCTCTGAGTCCCTTCATTGTTCATATTTAGATTACTTGTCATCCCTAATTCTTCTTCAAGTTCTGAAAAAGAATGTCACATAATTTTTTTAATCATATTATTTTTGTGTAGCCCTGAATCAGCAGTCGTCTATGAGTTTCTCTTGATGATTCACCAACAGCAGATCAGAGAACCATACAGTGCCAACACAGGATATGCAATAATAAAAAGAAAACACATAAGAGCCAGGACATTTTTGACCAATGTTCATAAATGTCTGTAGACCCTTATGCATCGGCTACTCAAAAAAAAGTGAGAAACCCCAGGGAGACCCACTTTGAATGAACGAGGGATCCACTACCGACAGCCAGGCCATAGATCCAGGACTCAATAATTTAGGATCTCACTCAGTGTATGGTACTAGATACAAGATATATACCAAAACAATATCTGATACAGACCTGTGAGAATTTGGTCAATCTTTTCCACCACAAAGTCTACGTCTTCCTTGGTGAAGCACAGAGGCGGCTTGAACTTGAGGACATTTCGATGAGGGCCGTCTGCGCTCAGGAGGATATGCTGCTCTTTCAGCCTGGAGAGAGGATGGGAAGTCACCACAATCCGCCCACTACACAGTATAATCGCAGAACATGTTTTTCCCACAAAGATTGCAGATAAAATAATGAAATTCGACGCACAGCTAAACAGAACAGAAGCTTCGTACCTGTAAATGACTTCCTGAGCTTCGGCTGTAGCAGGGGTTAATTTGAAGTGGTCTCTCACCAGCTCCACACCAACAAACAGACCACAGCCCCTGCAGAAAAGCATATGTTTTAAAACTGAGAGCCAGGAATAGTACTGTGTTCTCAAAGTAATCCATCATTGCTCTCAAAACCATTTCTTATTGTCTGTCTGTAGTTTTCACATGGCTTCTGTCACATCTTTAGATCAGACTTTACGGACAGAAACATGAAAAGGAGAGGACAACCCTCACTCAGCTCTCAGACCAATTCCTCAAATATGGACTCACAGGGCTCGTTATGACAAGTACCACTGTACAGCAGAAAAGTTTAGTCAGCCACCAATTGTGCACTGAAAAAAGAAGAGAGATGCCTTTAATTGTCATCATAGGTAAAACTCAACTATAAGAGACAAAAGATCCAGATAAATTTGGGGCTGTCGCTGGGAAACACTCTAAAAGAGATCTGCATGGAGGAATGGGCCAAAATACCAGGAACATTGTGTGAAAACCTTGTGAAGATAATTAGCAAATAATTTCTTTAAAAATCTATCAATATGATCATCTGGATTTTTTTCTCAATGTGTCTTTTATTGTTGAGTAATACCTATGATGAGAATTACAGACATCTCTCATCTTTTGAAGTGGAAGGACTTGCCCATTGCTGGCTCACTAAGTACTGTTTTATTCCCACAACATAAGTGATAAAAACGGCATGTTCTGGTCTGATTTACATTCACGGGACTCTTTCTGCAGGAACGAACAATATCTATTATTTATGTAACAAAAGTCAGGCACCCCTGCTTTGAATAATGTATAACCGGCGTGCTGAGGATGTCGCTCTGGTCTGGGTGTAAGTGCACAAGGCTCACCTGATATCTCCGATCAGTGGGTGTTTCTCCTTGTGTTCCTCCAGCATTTTGCACAGGTATCCCCCCACACGCAGCGCATTGCCTTGGAGATCCTCTTTCTCAATCACGTCTAGCACGGCCAGACCGATGGCACACGACACGGGGTTACCTCCAAACTGTGAAATTCAAAACCGGGTAACATGTGAACGGCCAGGTCTCAGGCTCTGCTCAGGCCTGCACCATTCAATTCAATTCAATGCATTATTATATACCCCGAAACATCTCAACAGTACTCGGCTCAGTGGACTTTACAAAACCGTCAAATTTTCCAGATCAGAGAATCAAACAGAAACACGTAGGAGGTCCATAAATGTTGTCAAATGTCGAGAATCATCACCACTGTCCTTACAACTTCCTGAATTGTCAAGGAAAAACATTCAACATGCGATACAGGAGGCTGGATCTTGGCTTAACTTAATGCGGAGGTACCTAGCTTTTTCTCTCTCAAAAAGATGATGCATATTTGTTTGTCTCAGAAAAAATAATCTTGTAAAAGTATGTTATGAGCAAATCAGATCACGTCATGTCTTCCTCCTAATCAAAGAGCTCTGTGACATATTTGGACGTATTTTAAAATGGTGTCCTAGTTTTGGACATTTTGCAAATTAGCCTTGGCTATTATAAATGTTGTAGTGTTTTGCATGTTGATTGTGTACATTTGTCCCAATTGAATGAATCAATAAAAATGAAAATAGTTAAAACTGGGGTACCTAACTTTCAAACAACAAACGGAACTGTATATTGCAATCCAGCCTGTCTTACCTGATGAAGACCTAATTGGTCGAAACACGTTGGTATCCCTCAATAATAACGGAAGTCAGTTGGGCCTCTGACCTTTTTTTTCTTCTATTATCAACACAACCCTTTAAACAATTTGGTTCTATCACATGCATGTATTTTTGGCCTCTTTCACATTTTTAAATCAGCTTTTTAAAAAGGAGACGACCATCTTCTCTCAGCCAATCAGCTCTCAGCCCAAAGCATCAAATAGTGACTCACAGGGCTGTTTTTTACGTGTATGCAAAAGATAACATGATTTATAATAAGGTGAAGAAAGACAAATTGTTCACAACATTTTACTTTCATAAGATTTGATGAGATTATAAAGAATTAAAGTTAGGTACCTCAGCTTTAAAGAAAAATGTAAGCTCAAGGAAGGAGTTGGGACTGTCTGTGTCATACAAACACATTGGTGACTTTCCCAGCCACAGCCCCAAAACATCACTACTCTAAAAGAGATCTGCATGGAGGAATGGGCCAAAATACCAGCAACACTGTGTGAAACTTTATAGGAAACCATTGACTTTACTTATTGCCAACAAAAAGTATACAACGTATATATCTCACCCGTACAGCCCTATGCATAATTGTCTTAATATCAATGGGTTAATTTTATTGTATATAATTTTGGGATGAAGAATACAGTATATATTGCTGTTGTCACCAATACACGTACAATAATATACAAGGAGTGCTTACTGTATTAAAATATTCCATTCCAGATTTCATGAAGGCCTCTGCCACCTCTCTCGTCGTGACCACGCAGGACAGAGGGTGTCCGTTTCCAATCGGTTTCCCCATAGTCACGATGTCCGGCACAAAATCCTCTCCTTGAAGCTGAAAGGCCCAAAAGTGGCTCCCGACTCGGCCAAATCCGACCTGGACCTCGTCGGCGATGAAAACCCCTCCAGCGTTCCGCACACGCCTGTAGGAAAAAGAAACACGAAAACTTCTTCAGCCATACACGTGTGAAAAATGTCAAAATGATGAATCCTCAGGTACATACTCAGCAACCTTTTGGAAGTAGCCCACGGGGGGAATGACCTGCCCACCACAGCTCTGCAGAGACTCAGCTATGAAGGCGGCGATCTGGAGAAAAAGCAAGTTTAGATGAAATGTATTTAAAGCAGTTGTCTTGTTTTATACAGCATTTTGAGGAGTACAGTTCACGAGGTGCTGTACAAATAAACTTGCCTTGTCTTGCCTTCGGGATATTAATGGTGGAAAACAGCATATATACATATATACTGTACATACATACAGCTCACAAAATACTTACTGTATTCAAACTAATGTATCATTTCATAGAGGTCACATTTCTATGAAGCTAAGAGGTAGTAGTAGTCTTTATCTTTAATTACTAGTTGTGCAATACAAAAAAAGAAAAATAACATATATACACAATTTGAGTAGGTAAAAGTAAAACTTATGTTTCCTACCCCTTATTACTACATTATCTTTCTTTTACAAAAGTTCAAATGATTTAGTTAGATTTACAGCCAGACATTTATCCAACATTAGACATTTATCTTAAATATAATTAACACTTATTACATAAATAGTCATATTTCAAAGGCAGATTAAACACCAGTGAAAGGGTCTTGTTGTCGTTACTATTTCTACTCAAACATTATTGTATGTGAGCCCCACATAGTGCCGTGCATTAAAAACAGTGGGTCGAATGAGACCAGATGTGGTCAGTGAGCAGAAGCCCCCACTCAACCACCCCCGCCCCCAACTTCCCTAACCAATGGAAATGTAGGAAATGTTTGTGTCCTTTGCTCGCTGTGTGATGCATTAAAAAACAAGGTTTAGAGTCTGCTAGAGGGAGGGGCGGAGCTATGATTTCAGGAAGTAAAATTCCCCATTCAATATCCCTGGAGTTTAATATATTGTATAATAATGCATTGGTTGTTAATTCACTCCATACACAGTGGTGATAAACTACTACTGCAGCCAGAGATGCCCTGGGGCGTACTGGCAAGTGCATGACAATCAGTGTGTGCCATTGACACCTCAGACCACCCACCGGCCATTCACACACACACACACACACACACACACCAGACTCACCAGATTCTAGACAATGTGGGTGAAGTGCCTAAGGATACAACAACAGTTGGCACCTCTCCCATCACAGTACTAACCAGGCCCTGCCCTGCTTAGCTTCAGATATATAACAGAGTCTGGCTTCCACCTGCAGGTCGGACCACAAATTCCAAACCGGAGGCTCACTGGCTGTGAGCTAATTCTGACCATGAAGGTGATATTGGATCATTTCAGAAGGAAGCACCATATTTCAAGGCACACTAACGTGCCACGGCCCACAGGTTGACAAACACTGGTCATATAACAGAGATGATACACAATAGTTACACAAACACTGAACAATGTACCTTTCTTCCTTTGTCTTCAGCTTTGTGGATCAGGTCTTGGACGTCGTCTGCGTACGCTGTGGCGGGGTCCGGGTGGTCTCTCCTGTACTTCCCTCTGTACACGTCTGGACTCGGAGCCTGTTCACAGAATCAGGACAAAGTACATGTGTGAGTGACATGACAAATCATGGAATGTGAATGAAATGTACCCAAACCTTGCCTAAGGACACAACAACATTCTGTCACACCTGGTATTCCCAGAACTCTCAGTACTAACCCGGCTCTGAGGCTCAGAGATCAGCCTTTCACATGAAGACTTTTCACATTTGTTACAGCAAAAAGTCCATAAATTATTACTTGACATGAGAAAAAAAATCTGTTCAGGCTCCTGTACAGATGGTTACAGGAGCCCGTACATGTGTGGAGCTGCTGTTTGGGGCGATGTCTGTTTACACTGATCTAAAAAATGGCTTTGTGTTTACACTTTTATATGTTCTAATCCCCGGTTTTAATTGCATCACTTAAAATAACTTCACAGAACATGTTTGTAGATTTGATCCTGTTTGCTGCTTCCCAAGGGACTACAGTTGTAAACTAAGTTGTAACTGTAGCTGATTCTGGCGCATTTACATTACATTCATGTGGATTAAGTCAAACATTTCAAAATAATAATAAAAACAATAAAATGCCTTATTCCATATACCTCATGTAGATACTGTGAGCTGTTGTATGAACACAAAAAAACAAAGCCACAGCGTTTTGCTCAGAAATCAGTTGGAATGATAATAATACTTGTTGACAGTCACTCCCATATCCCTCGCATAATCTCACATTCTTTTATTGTTTGTGTAATTTTTCAAAACCACTTCTCCTGTCAGTCAGATGACAATAAGTCCATTTGGTTTAATTGATTCAGAGCAGACAGACAAATAATATGGGCGTTATCAAGAGCCAGTCAGACGGCCTGCACAAGAACAGTGTGTGCCCAGGAACCTACAGCAGCACGCAGGGAGGGGGGAGGGGGAGGAAAGGGGGGAGGGGGAGGAAAGGGGGGGGGGGGGGGGGGGGTCACTGGTGCTCACTGGTGCTGGTGCTTACTGGTGCTCACAGGTGTTCTCTCTAGGAGTCACTCACCACATGCACACAGGGGTTCATCTGGTACTCTGGCACCTGGTTGAACTTGTACGGACTGATGTCGATGAGGGATGAGACGTGGCCGTGGTACGCACTGCACACACACAGAGAGACACACACGTAAGAGAGAGACACACACACACACAAACACATACATAAGAGAGAGAGAGAGAGAGAGAGACATACACAAACACACACATACACAAAAGAGAGAGAGACACAGACACACGTAAGAAAGACAGTTATGAACACGCACACACCTGTACAAAAGAGGGAGAGACAAGCACACACATACATGCATAAGAAGGACACGCACACAAACACACACACACACACATGCACATCCACAAGAGAGGCACGCGCACAAGCACATATACATAAGAGAGAGACAAACACACATAAGAAAGACGCACAAGCACACACATACATATACTATACAGAAGAGGGAGAGAGACAATCACACACACGTGCATAAGAGAGACACGCACACTTGCGTAAACACACATACATGAGCGATAGACAAACACACACATAAGAAAGACAGCCACGTACAAGCACAAACATACATACATAAGACACAAACACACACACACATGCACATACATAAGAGAGACACGCACACATGCAAAAACACACATACATGAGAAAGAGACACACACACAAACACGTAAGAGCTACACGCGCACATGCACATATACATAAGATAAAGAGACAAACGCACACACACATGCATAAGAAAGACACGCACACACATACTGTACATAAGAAAGACACGCACACGCATACATAAGAAAGACACGCACACCCGCATAAACACACATACATGAGAAAGAGACACACACACACAAACACGTAAGAGCTACACGCGCACATGCACATATACATAAGATAAAGAGAGACAAAAGCACACGCACATGCATAAGAAAGACACGCACACACATACTGTACATAAGAAAGACACGCACACGCATACATAAGAAAGACACGCACACCCGCATAAACACACATACATGAGAGAGACACACACACACACACACACACACACAAACTCACACGTAAGAGAGACAAGCATACAAATGCACACATAAAAAAGACACACCCACACACAAGCATAGACATACAAACACACACACACACACACACACAACGCATATATAAGACCTGGGAAGTGGGCCAGAAGACATTTGAACATGATTTATGAGTGTCTGTTCTTAATTGAATACTCTGCGGTTTAGCGAGAAACAGTACAAAAAGTAAAATCTGATTTGTAGATGTGACCCGTTATCTGGGGACACATGCAACATTTCAAATTCAAAGGTTACTGTCCACAACATTTTGTAAACAAATCAGACCACAAAATGCTGCCTTTATCTTATTGGGTAACATTTGATTATTTGCATACTGAGAGCTGATAGGCCGAGTGAGTTCTCTTTCTCTCTTGTGCTCTCTTTTCTATCTTTCTATCTAAAACAAAGGATATATGAAGTTTTGAGAGCATGGAACTACTGTACTTAAACCCTTGTGCTACCCTAGGGGTAAAAATTACCCGCCACAGTAATTCAAATTAGGCACTTTCAGACCCTAAATGAAGCTGTTAAAAAGTCTCTAAATGACCCAGGGCTGGTCAAGCTGGGAATAATAATCAAGATTCAGCTAAAAAAAAAAATTATTAGGGTATTTTTCACTACTGTGGCGGAGTCAATTTGACCCAAATTCTATCCGCAGTCCTGGACATACAGCAGGATTAGCCATAGATAGTGGGAGAGTGTTTTGTGGCTGACTTCTGCAGGGTGATGACGTCGCTGTGGCCGGTGTACTGGCGGGCGAGGCGCAGGGCCAGGTCATTGGCTTCGGAGCTGAAAGTTTAAAGGACAAGAGTTACTGTGAGTTACTGTGAGTTACTGAGTGACCACAAAGCACACATGACAGCAGCAGCGGAGGGCTCCCAGCACCAGGGCCCACCAGGTCACGTTGTATGACTTATTACAATAACATGTAATAAGTGTATGGAGCTTTTGCATTTAAAAGTACTAGTCCTTTAAAAAAGAAAACACAACAAAAATCTATGAATCAAACTCTTAAAGCCTTGCCTAAAACTTCTGGATATTAAAAAGGCAAAAATATATGCACAAAAATTCATGTAGTAATTGAACTACACTACGGAGAGTTCACATTTCTATGGAGCTAAGAAGTGGGCGGAGCTTTCTTATCAGGAAATTCACCAAAATCTTGAAGCTGGTGCGTGTCCCAGGCATAGACTGTTTATATTAACGGATGTAGTCACGCCTATCTCCGCCGTTCTAACTAATGGGCCAAAAATTGGGCTCTCAAGGGGTGATTCAAAATGGCCGCGGGGGCTGGAAAATGTGAAAAAACTCATCTGCGCATGCGTCAGCCGGCACGAGCCCCATTCATTTAAACGAGTGACTTCAAAAATTCACAGCGATTAAACTAGACCGGTCCAAAAAAGTTCACCCCCCTCAGCATTGACACACGGAACGGAGCTTTGGGTCCATCCTGTAAAGGTGTTTTCGAGAGGTCAGAAGATGCTATATGTTAGCATTGGCTAATTCTTATTCCGGGTCCACCCCCATCGGCCCGGGGTGGTATTGCAAGCATGTCAGCGCACGTCATTTTGGCCACTTTTGAACCTGGGACCCGCCCCCACTGGTCCCAACAGAAAAAGTCTTGGAAAGGTAAAAAGTTGTCAACAAATCAGAGACCGCAACAGCTCATATTTTGCATAATGGTACAAAAGAACACTGTGAGTCTCTGTTTGAGGGTGGTCCTGTATTTTGAACTTTTCTATCCGAAAAAGCACAACCACAGATGTGACAGAAGCCAAAGATACTGGTGATAGAAGCAAACTGTTTTAAAGCCAGAAAATAGCGACATTATTGGGTTTTTTTGTGGTTTGAAAGTTAGGTACCTCAGCTTTAATAACATTGCAAACTAAATGTGCTTACAACAGCTTACTTATAGAGTTAATATAGCTTCTTTTAATACTTGCTAATATACGTGTCAGCTTTCTTCACCGATATTACGGGATATTATCAATGTGGCAATTTTCAAACTGTCTTAACCAGTAAAACCAGTGGGTAACCAGGCTGGGTAAATCTCAAATGAGTTTTAATGAGTCTGACATGTATTAATTTCATGGTGTAAGCTGAAATTCAGAAGTAAATAGACTTTTGAACAACCTCCCAATTTCCGAGTTTCACCTGTAACATAATTCCAATTTTGATTTTAACACTTGAGTCCCAGTGCAGTCAATTTGATGATTTTGATTTCTAAAGTGTAATTATTCAGCTCATGTACAGTTGTAGTCTTAATAACTGGCATTTTCCGTTTCTGTCTGTAAATCTATTTCTATGTCATTGTTTTTACATGTAACATTCTATGGCAGTTATAGATCCAGCTTTTCAACAAACTATTTTTCTAAGTTTATAACCAGTTTTAGCACTAATTAGGTAAAACATGACTAGATTTTAGGACTCCCAGAATTATGAAACTATACTACTCGCAGAGCCGTCATTTTGACTGTTCCCATTCAAACCAATGGAATTCTGAGAAATTCCCCCCAAAAATGTTTTTCACCAGATAAGTGATTTACATGGTATTTATTTGTACTTAATCTTAAGTGCTAAAACTGGTGGATATAATTTTAAATGGGCTACTGTATATGCACGGGGAGCCGTGACGTCATTTCCTGTTAACGCAGATCAGCCCGTTCACTTCCTGCCTATGCTATTCTATGGCATTTAGGAGAGTTTTAGTGACGTTTTTTTAGTAATTAGATACATTCAGCTGTGAGACTGACACAAAAGTGTCGCTGTGCTTTCTCTTTGAGGTAGAGCTTTGACTGTGGCCACAATCGATTTTTAAACTTTATAAAAACACAATGACAGCACAATCAAAGAGCACTGCTGTGTCCCAAAAATGCCCAGTCTCTTCACAGTTTAATTCCCGCTTGAGCATTATTTGGGAAACTCGTGTAAACCACTGAAACTCAAGCCGTTTCCCGCGAACAGGAAGTGAGGTGGGGCTTTAGCTAAAACCCGGAAGTGGTGCATGCATAGAGCCTATACAGTACAGCAGCATCTAACTGCTAACTGCTGTCAGTAAACAGTTGGTTGCTATGGTAACTAGGACTGAGTTTCTTTGTGTATGAATTGTGCTTTACAAATAGACGTACCTTGCCTACTCACATTACAGAAATAAAAGATAATGTAATCATAATAATTACATAAATAAATGAAATATAATAGGCCTATTTCACGAAGATGTTACGAATGCGGAAGTAAAGAATAGCTGAGTTAAACAACTTCCGGTCCGGTGTTTTGACAGCGGTAGAGTGAAATGGATTCCAAATGTTTTTGTTTTTATAAGAGTTTGCGAAATTTGCCCCAAATGTCTATGGAGATGTTTCCCAGATAGCCTCTTTTATGTCGCTTACAAGCAGCTCAAAGCTTGAGAAGGGGTATAAGTTGTTTGTTGAAAACTACGTGTTTAACTATGAAGGTAAGTCACGCTTCACAGTGTGTTGTTGGGTTTTTATCTTATGTCAAGTCTTTTTCCTTTTTACCTGACGTTGGTGCTAACTATAAGTAAAATAAATAAAACGTAATCTGTATGAACCTTTCTACTGTCTGTAAACATTTTAGGCTTGTCGCAGAGCTAACATTAGCATAACGACAGCACAACCCAATGGTTTTAATGGCCACCAAACTACAAAGTATGAATACTCTAGAGTCTAGACAGTTTTATCTAATAAATCCACCACTTGAGTGATCGTTGTTTGAAAACATTAGCTTGTAATTAGGATAAAAGCCAACGGCTATATTACATTATTTCTTAGATAGGCTGGAGAAATTGCAGCAGGAAGGCCAGAAAGAATAGTTTGGTAAATTACGTTGATATGACTTTATCTGTCACGACATGTGTATGTGACTATTTGCCTTAATGTCATTTTATGGTAGCAGGCTCTTAAATGGCCTAATCCAAAAAATTTGCAATATTCAGGTGCTGTTTTTTCTTTTATTTAAAATGTATATAGTGTCAGAAATAGTTGGAGGAGAGGTGGCTGTTCGAGCCCATTGCCACAAGTCCATGAGGAAGCGTGAGCCACCACATTGCTTACATGTTTACTATATAATGCTGGCATGTTGTTATTAATAGCTAACTGCGGTTGCAGTTTGTTGTCATTCAGTTTATTTTATACCCAGTTGTTGCTGTTGCAACGAGTTCTGCTTTCATCCTGTTTTCACTTGTGACTCTTGTTATGTTGTGCCAGGTGATGTCTGCTTTATGACTTATTACTTTTTCATTCCAGATCACATTACAATCTGGGATAGTTCCAGCCGTGGTCATGTCAACCAGCTGTTCTTGTGCTGCCGGAAAGATTTTGTGCAATCATCTGGTGGCTCTTCTGTATCAGAGTGCACACTTCAGCACGCTGAAGCTGCCAGTGGTTCCAGCTGATCTGTCCTGCACTGAAGAGCTGCAGACCTGGCATAGACCACGAACCCAGGTTAATCCTAATCATGGATATTTTAATGAGGTGGAAAATAAAAGCTATTTAAGTTAACTGTATTATTGTATACAGGGGATCAAGCCAGAAGCGGTGTCGGAAATGATTGTGAGCAAACCAAGGCTCAAGAAAGCAACCAAGGCTGTTGTTAAATCAACCCTTTATCCTGCACATTCAGGTAATTTACAATATTATAAAAACCTTATACCATGAAACATTTAATCTTACAACTATATGTTTGGCTTATAGTTGTAAGATTAACTATAGGACAAGTTATAGTTAATCTTACAACTATATTCTAGTCTATTCATTGGACTATGAATGGAATAAGGTTAGATTATTTAGCAGATTAAGTGATTAATAACTAATTGTATTGTTACTTGAAGCTTTTAAGACTAATTTCTGTATTCTATTTTTGTCAATTGGATCAATCCATACCTGGCTTTGAACTAAATTGGCTAATGTGTCATAGGTCCTCTCCCTGATCAGCACTTGATGACAATTGGTGAGAAGCTAAAACACATACAACCCCGATTGGGAATCTGCAAGATTCTTTCTGGCCTTGAGGAAATGACAATGGTGGACTCCAAATTTGGTCTGGTGCCTCATGGATCTGTGCTATCCTATCAGTATCCTGCAAAAGACACCGGTGGATATGTCAAGGATCTTGGTGCTCCAGACTTTCCTTCGCTGCCAGTTGAGGGCTATTCATTCAAAAGTGATCATGTGTTCGTACCTACGTATGCACAATCCGTCCACATGGAGAGCCTACAGGTGACCGCAGCGTTATCTACAGCCATAGAGGCACAGACCAGGGGGCAGTCAAACAGCCCAGTGTGGTTTGAAGCCCGCCGCCCTAGACTGACAGCCAGCAGATTTAGGGAAGCCTGCCATGTACGAGGTGAGTCTACAGCGAGATCTTTGGCGTGCCGTATTCTCAGAGGGAACATCCAGACTGCTGCAATGAAGAGAGGGCTCAAACTGGAAGAAGGCATATTGAAGATCTATGCTGAAAACGGGAACCTGTCTGTCTATCCTTGCGGCTTCATTGTACATCCAGATGCCCCTCACCTTGGAGCCAGTCCTGATGGCAGGGTCTACGATCCCTCTGAAAATCCTCAATTTGGTCTCGTGGAAGTCAAGTGCTGTGACACCAACACCATTTCTGAGGTAAAGCACTTGACTAAAGATCTCTGTGTCAAGAAAAGCCACAAGTACTACTGGCAGGTACAAGGTCAGCTGGCAGTCAGCGGGCTAGAATGGTGTGACTTTGTGACAGATACAGACACACAATTAACAGTACAAAGGATCTGGAAGGACAACGAC